CACCACACCATGTAAAAATATAATATAAGCTCTGGCGGACTTGGTTCTATGGTAGGTCTTAAAGGGTTAAACCCTCACTTCATAATAATTATGCCCTTCTCTGCCACCACTCTGTTCTTCATTTTTGTCTTTCTTAGGTCAATAAGCAGCAGCTACAGGCAGTAAAGGAGCGTTTTCTTGCTTTCCTCAATGGAGAAACTCAAATTGTGGCTGATGAAGCTTTCTGCAATGCTGTGAGAAGCTACTATGAGGTAAAGTGATTGAGTGAGTTTTGTAAAACATTTTTCACAGAAACAAATGTGATTTTAGCTTTACAATTCTATGACAGGATAGGGACTCTCTTCAGGCATTGCCTTAATTCCTGTTATGTTGTTTCTGACCCACAAACCGTCTGACAGAAAGGTGGAACCAACCTGACGATATACTCTTATAGTTACTTGACTGTGTCCTTCTTATTTGTTTTCAACAGAGGTGGTGAATTTACCCAGTTTGTCAATATTAATGCTGACATGAAACAACTAGAACTATCTTTATTCTTTGTAAAGCTGACTGAGGCTAGTATGAAACAAAAGATAACTTTTCATGCTTATAAATTGCCTTGAATGCTGTAGCAACATATATAAGTATAAGTAAATCCTATTTTTCATTTCTACTGAGTTATTGTTATTGATGATGCACTACTTAATTTGAAAAGTGAATCTTTTTAAACAAGGTACTAGCAGCAGCATTATATCCAGCTTTAGTGGCAATAGCGTTCTTGCTGGGAGCTTCTACTGTTTCAAGCTGACAGGCCTATTGTCTCATTTATTAAGATGTTTCCTTCAAAATGCTGTCAGAGTAAAACTGAAAGAAATCAACAAACATATCCTGCTCAGACACTCATTTACATAGGTTGCCATATAAACAATGGAGACACACTGCAAACAACAATGTAAAAAACAACAAGTCCTACTGTATAAATGCTGCATTAAACATGAAAGTTTTATACAATGTCACAAAACTAGGCAGCTGGGCAACTTTCCTAAGCACAATAATAATGCATCTCTGCAATGCTAATTGATGCATCCTTCTTCAAATGTGGCCAAAAAAATGACGCAAAACTCAGTCATATGTCTTCCGCACACCCAAGTGCCCTGACCTATCATGAGCTAGGTTCAACACCTGACCACGATACTTTGATGGATTTACTACCTGGAACACTGGATCGCCCCCAAAGTCCTCCCCATGGGGCACCCACTTCCTCACCAGAACACCATCCTGCAAAAAATAGCCAGCCACACTTTTCACCTCCAGAGCTGACAACACAGACTCCAACTGCCGTTCCAAGGATGGGTCAGCCCTCTGCACACTCATCAACTCACTGCGGGGCACATCCAGAGGCGAAGCTGGCAAAGTCAGTAAAACAGGTTCATCCTTAACAGCGGCTTCTGTACACTCACCTTTACTTATTGCCCGTGTAACAGCACAGGCCGGGTAAGAGAAGTGACGACTGCCGGCACTATCCAACCGATCTAACCTGGAAGGCGAATCCGTAACTACTAGTGCTGATGACACCTTTCCCCACACCCGACCTCCGGCCAAATCATTACCTAGAATGATATCCACCCCTTCCACCGGCAATGCAGGCCTAACCCCCACTAAAACCTCACCATGTACCAATTCGCCCTCAGTGTTCAACCTATGCACCGGAACCGGAACCACCATTATCCCCATTCCTCGCATAAGGATCTTATCCCCAGTAGCTGTCTCATCTGAAAGTGGGAGAATGGACCCCACAGCATAAGAGTTGACAGCGCCAGTGTCTCTCAAGATCCTAACTGAGACTTTCGTGTGCCCCCCAGGCAGGGTAACAAACCCACCCCAGACAGGCATCAAAGACTTCCTAGGCCCGTCAAACATGTCACATTCCATGTACTCACCATACCCCCTGTCCAAACCCAAAGGAACAGGAAGGCTTGCAGCTAGGGCAATAGGATTCCCCTGTTTAACCCCCCCCCCCAAGAGCGGTCTCTTGCCAGGAGGATGGGACGATTCACCTTCCAATGACCAGACTCCTGACAATAATTACACACATCCCTGCCTGTTCCAGAATGATTAAATCACACAAGCCTTCAAAATTATTGACCCCGGAAGCCACACACCAGCGGTTAAATTGGTTCGTTATCTCCCTCACAAACTCCAAATGTGACTGAGCAACCTTCTTCTCCGGTGTCCTAAACCGTTGACGATAAGCTTCAGGGACCAACTCATACGCCTTCAACACAGCATCCTTAACAGACTTGTACGTCAAATCATCACTGCCCAATGATGCATATGCCTCTTGCGCTCTCCCACACAACACACACTGCAAAAGCAGAATCCGTTCAGAATCTGACCACTTTCCTGCCTCTGCGACACGTTCAAACAAAGAAAAAAAAACCCATCAGGGTCTTCCTCATTAAACTTAGGTAAGAGACGCAAATTGCTCACCATATCAGGAGATGACAAAGATGAACGGCCCTCATCCAACAAGACGTCCCCTGAAAGCTTACCCTCTTTAACCAAAGTTAAACGAGTATTCTGCAAATCTGTCTTTGCCTGCTCAGTCTCCCGTCGCAACCTTTCAATCTCCACCTGCTTGTCAGCCTCCAGTTTGTGTTTTTCCATGTCCATCTTCTGTTTCTCCAGCTCCAACTGTTGCTTTTCCTTTTCAAAAGAAATTTGCAATGACATCAGCTCCTTTTGCTGCTCAAAAGTCAAGTTTCCCGGAAAAACTCCCAACGGCACAGTTACCAAAACACCCTTTTCAACTAACTGCAACTTAACCGCAGATTTCACAGTATCTTTGCGACGTTTATCCCCAAGCCCACTCAAATCAAGATCATACTCATCTGCAACCTTCAACAGCTGGTCCTTAGTGCAGCGATCCAGGAAATCCTCACAAGGTGCAGCAACAAACTCCTCTATACCTGCCATGATGCTGCAAGGCTCAAAGAGCGCAGCAAAGGAAAGAGGAGGAAGAGAAAAAAAACAATCAGCAGAAAACAAACAAGCAAAAAAACAGTGGTTCCCCAGGTCAAATCGTGCCCCGAAAGACAAACATCTCTCGCTAAAGTGGAAATCTCCCCCTTACTAACCTGCCTACCCCAACTTACCTACACCATAACCCTAGTCTTCATGCAGATTAGCGGCAGGCTCTTTAAAGACTCAACCCAATAACCTGGTTAGGCCCCCAGCAAGCTGGGTACTCACCTGACAGCCCTGGAAGTGTCCCCGAGACGAATGCTCTAACCGCACACCACACCAAAAAAAAAAAAAAACAAAAAAACAAACAGAGTCCAAAAGGAACACGCTGCTGCACCTACAAAGGGAGACTCCACAAAACACTTACCACCTCAGAGAACCCTGCAATCACTGCTAAGAAGTCACACCTACTTGATGCCACATGAACCTGAGGCACCACACAAATCAAGCAACAAACCCACCATACTGGGACCAGATCCACATAACCAAAACCAAATCAGCAACCATCAAATCAAACCCAAATGGATGAGCCCCCACTTGTCACGAACCGGGCCGTACGGTCATGACAAAGAAAACCCCAGACGTGGTTAGGAATGTATTCCAAGCTGCTTTATTCTTTTAAAACAAATAAAACAGAAAAGAAACCCTACTGTCAAAAACAAACAGTGGTGTGTGTAATCAGTACCATCAGTAGTGTGTGTGAAGGAATGGATGAGTGGAAGATGATGCATGTAATAGTGTCAAAAGCAAAAACCAAACCTAACGCAGCCAAAGTCCAACCTGGTGTCTCAGAGCCAACTAAAACTATGCCCTAAAGGCTTTTTTATATAGAGTCCTGGTACACTGGCCCAGGTGTTGCCAGTGTCACTGATTGTAAACGGGAACTCCACCTCTCCAATGCCTGCTAACAAGACACACATGAGCCAAAAGGAAGGCAGGGTGCAGTGGGTCATCACACTAATATAGAAATCAAATAACGGGCAATGAGACCTAAAGCAGTATGCTAAAATAAACTTCCATACAAATCACAAATGTATGCAAAGTACCGAAAACGATAATGACATGTTGACAACTGAAAATACAGGCACCAGTAACATAAGGAGGACTTGGACAGCTGAGAAGTCGAGGACATTGAAAAGTCTCTTGACTTCCTAATGGATGAAATCTTTACTCTCAGTTTGCAACAGAAAATCATCACTGACAGTGTGGAGGAGGTAAAGCTCCTCCACATGCCAAATGCAGAGAAAGAGCATCATTGGATATCAGCATTAACGGGACCTCAGTTTGGTGTTTCACAAAGCTGCTGATTTCAGACCTGCAGAGCTTCTGTTTTAAACACTGAATGTAGTCAGCTCCATGAAGAGGACATGAGATTTTCTCTGACACAATTTAAACCTGATACAGGTTAAAGGTCATCACTTTTATGTTGAACTAAAAACTTTAATCTACAATTCTTCCAAACTGTGTTTTGCTAGTAGTGTAGAGCATAATATATATTTACACATATAACTTTCTACAGGAATGAGTACAAATTATATGTAGAGCAAGTATCCATCACAGTGTTGATGAAATGCTGGGTTTATCCATTTTCGGGGGCAGGCCTATGGTGGAGCTTTTAAGATTTCTCTGTGAGGGAGCTGCTGGCGAAGATGAGTCCTTGATCCCTGCGATGAGCTTCAGCTTCAGTGTTCCTGATGTTTCTAAAATGATGCCTCTCTCAGTGGGTCAATGGAACATCTGGCACAGGACAGCTGCGATGAAAGAAAGGAAGTTTCTTCAAACCTCTGGACCCTGGAAACCCAGCTTGGTCCTGATGGTCTCCATCACTAGTTTTCCCCAGGGTGAATGTAGCCGCTGATAACAATGTGAACTCTGTTATTAAATTAAAATAACAGATTACACTACACTACTGAAACCTTCTGCTGCCGTTTTTATTTAAAGTTTCTGTCTTACCAGGATGTAGAGAGCTCTGTGAGTGTGATGGATCTAAAACTCTTCAGTTTTATATCATCCTCAGTCTGATGTTAAACTGTCAAAGGACAGCATTACATTTTTGATATTAACAGTAACGCTGGGCCACTGTGGAGTGTGCAGCTGATGTCATCGCTGTCTAAAAATGGATAGGGGGGAAAAAGTGCTGAATCATTCAAACGCTTTAGACCAGGGGTTTCCAACTCTATTCCTCGAGAGCTACTGTCCTGCAGCTTTTAGATGCATCCTTGTTCCAAAAATGATTGATTAGTAACAAGCCATTCAATCAATTTATTTATAAGCACGTGTTTAAAAAAACAAAACAACAAAAGCAAACAAACAAACAAAAAAACAGCACAGGTTGACCAAAGTGCTGTACAAAGTAGAACACACACACACCAACTAACCACGGGTTGACATAGTGTTTTCTTTATTTGTTAATGTGGTGGATTTTTCCACTAGCAAGGTGAGCGCTGTGTTTAGAAAGTCCAATATTTATCACGTGTTCCTGCAGTAAATGTGACAACAGTACTTGTGAAAAATTATGTTGGAAATTCTTTTTTATAACTCGAGTTTTTGTTGGCCTGTCAACACAATTTAAAAACTGGTATAGAGTTTGAAGTTTGCACTTTTAACGCAAATTAAAACTTTGGTCTCGGCGAGGCGCCGTCTGCTGATACGTCATCTTAAGTCTTGACAGTGTCGTTTTGATGCATTTGTCTTTAAAGACAAATGACTGGTCTAAAAAAAAGTTATAGATTTAACACTATGTGAAGTTGGATTGAAGAAATAAAGTTTAAAGTTATAGCTTTCAGAGAATGTGTAGTGTCATCCTGTGCGAATACTAAATGACCTCTCTAGGTTTGTTGGTTTGCTGTTGGTTGGTTTGGTTGCTGCTAACAGACTAATAGGCTTTGTATGTTTCTTACATAGCATGATCAGAAATCTTGATATCCATCAGCATGTCTGTAGGGAAATAGATGTATGTGATGGACAAAAACAGAGAAGGAGAAAACGACAAGAGCTGCTATACTTTTTGGAAACCTTATTTCCTTGTTTTTATTGAGAAATTCTTACCTCATTGATACTGATTCATATCAGTGGTGGTCAGAGGGCCCAGTGGCGCCACTGTCCAGCAGCCTCGCCTCTGTCAGTGCGCCCCAGGGTGGCTGTTGCTACAATGTAGCTTGCCATCACCAGTGTGTGAATGTGTGCGTGAATGGGTGGATGACTGGATGTGTAAAGCGCTTTGGGGTCCTTAGGGACTAGTAAAGCGCTATACAAATACAGGCCATTTACCATACTAGAAGTGAGAAAAAGTGAAATCCAAATATAAAGTGAAGGAACCTATACTAAGGAGTTGGGTTTTTTTTTTTGTTTGTTTGTTTTTTCAACATCCTGGACATCAGCACAAAGAACTGACCCTTGTGCTTTGGTAAGAAACCTGTTCATGTTTGTGGTAAACTGTTTGGATATGCTTGAGAATAGACAGACTGTTTAATTGCATAAAACTGCTGATTGGATCTCGTGGACATATGCTCTGTCAGCTGCTTGCCCTGGTTGGTTTGTCCAACTGACCAGGAGAAGTCCAACACAGAGGGACGGTGTTTATTTATTTATTTATTTATTTTTGCTCGTCCACTGAAACGCCAGTGCACCTGGCTCAAACAGGCTCTCCTCCACATGGTCCTTTATAAAGTGCTGTACAAATCCCAATATTTTAGCTAACAGGTGGATGTTCAGGTTTCAGTGCAGTTAGCCCACAATGACCAAGCTAAGGAGACAGAGAGCCCACTGCTAAGTCCAGCATTTGAAATCTTGGGCTTCAACTCTCATGTAAAATCTTTGGCTTGTTCCTGTTTCTTTTATTTAATGAATATTTCTGAATTGCAACATATGCTCTCCTCTGCTGAACTAGAAAAAATTATTCATGCATTTGTGTAATCGCGTTTAGATTATTGTAATGCCGTCTTTCCTTTGCAGGGCTTCCTAAAGAGTGAGCGTATTTCCCGGATGGTTCAGAGCGGTGGCTGTTCAGCTAATGACTTTCGTGAGGTTTTCAAGAAAAACATTGAGCGCCGTGTCCGCAGCCTTCCTGAGATCGATGGGCTGAGCAAAGAGACTGTGCTCAGTTCCTGGATTGCAAAGTATGATGCTATCTACAGAGGGGATGAGGACCTGTGGCGCCAACCACAGAGGGCACACCTAAGTGCTGTTTCAGAGCTCATCCTTAGTAAAGAGCAACTCTACGAGATGTTCCAGCAGATCCTCAATATCCGCAAGTTTGAGCACCAGCTGTTGTACAATGCCTGCCAGGTGAGCTGCTTGAGGGTGACCGTTACAGCCAGACACACAAACTGAATGCATAATAGTGAATACTTCAACGTCCATTGCTTAAATGTAAAGAGAAATCCTGTCTTCTTTTCTAATTATTTGCTAGACCTGCTTGATAGAAAATACTGAAATCAGTGGAAAGCCCCTAACCAACTTCTCTTAACAGTACATTTTTTTTTCTTCTGTGTGTCTTTTTTATAACACTTCTCAGTCCCTTTCAGATCAGGGTTTTTCTCCCTTTTACTTGTTTTGGCTGAAGGAGCAGCACCACCATGTTTTCCATTTCATATATTCTTCTAATTTCTATTCAGAATTTAAACATATTCCACGAGAATCAGAATATTATTCTGTTGTACAAATTGTTGTGTCCATACTTTAAATAATTTCTCACGTCAGTATGTTTTGTCCCAGCATCATTGCTAAAACCAGAAATATTGTGCATATGTTATTTGCACTTAAAGCTGGGGATGTGTTTGTCTTTATATTGGAAAAAATAATCAGGCGTTAAACTGGAATTCAGCAGGTGTGGGGAAACCTAGAATCAGTTATACTGGCTCACTGTGGGGTAAAGAGTCAAAACTCACTATCTTTACTCTTATATTCATGGTGTGATCAGCTGACCTGTGTCAGGTGATGTACTTCACCTATGTAAATGTAGAATTCTGTGAATTAATCTAAGCACTTTAAATCCAAACTCGTCCCTGCTACACTTGATGTAACCTAACTTTGACCATAAACACCACGGCTTCTGTGCAGCAATCCAACACAGTCCGTTACTGTAAGTTCACCACAGTATGGCAAGCAGTGTTGGTCAAGTTACTTGAAAAAAGTAATCAGTAACTAATTCCTGATTACGTCCCCAAAAAGTAATCCCGTTACTTTACTGATTACTTATTTTCAAAAGTAATTAATTACTTAGTTACTTAGTTACTTTTTAAAAACATGATTTACAACCTGAAGTAGGTGATAAAGCGATAGATCTTTCAGCCCAATTCTACTTTTTCTGCATAATCCATCATACAAAATGTAATCAAATGGAAAAGTCTCTTTTTAAAACTTGTTTTATCAGTTTTAATCTTTTAACTTTATGCATCAAGCAAAAATTTAATTATATGCAACATTCTCTGACTGGAAGAAATTAGTTTAACATTTAAACCTATTTTCTGCACATTCCAGCACATAAAATAAAATATTTTTTGTGTTTACACTCAGCTCTTTCAAATAGATGCAAGTAAAACACAGCAGAAAATAAATAAAGTCAAAGACTAGCGGTCCTGTTGCTCTATTTTCACCTGTAAAGCAGGAGTGGGGTAGGCGGAGGGTTACCCTGGTGCAGGTGTGCCGCGGGTCAGTGGAAGAATCCGCGAGTTTCTCTGTGAGTTTCCCATTACGTCGTAGCGACTCGGTGCTTGTTGGAAGTTTAGGGGTTTTTTTCGCTGTAAAAAGAAGTTTTCTTCCCACGCACAACGGACGCTAATGTTTTTGTCACTTTTTATGGAATCAAACTCAAAGTAAGGTCAGTACTTCCACGCTTTAAACGCTGCACGCTCATACTCTCTCCCACATCGATATATGATCCATTGTTGATCTGCACACAGCTGTTGTCACTAACGTGCGCACTTCGCTTACGTCACTGTCTGAGACATTCTCGCAGAAAATCACGGTTTTAGTAACGCAGTAACGCAGCGTTCCTACGGGAAAGTAACGGTAATCTAATTACCGTTTTTGCAAATAGTAATCCCTTACTTTACTCGTTACTTGAAAAAAAAATCGGATTACAGTAACGCGTTACAGCCCATCTCTGATGGCAAGCAAACCAGTTTATCCTGCACTAAGCTGCAGGATAAACAGAACAAAAATGCTCTTCCTTAGCTGTTGGTGGGCCTGTTTGGACCGCTGGCGTATCAGAATCAGAATCAGAAAGGGTTTTATTGCCAAATGTTGAGCAGGTTTACAACATTAGGAAATTGCTGCGGTGCTTCAGTGCAAACATACTGTCATAAATAAGAAAAAATAAAAATAAAAGAATAAGAATTAAAAGTGCTAAGTAGATAGATATATACATGATATATACATGAGTGCAGGTGGTGATCAGTGCCAAACATGGAATGATGCAGTGAACACAGCGTAGGGTCATGTGTTAGTGGTGGGAACAGTCATACGGTTATTGTTCATGATGTCCAACAGCAGAGGGGAAGAAACTGTTCTTATGGCGAGAGGTTCTGGTGCGAATGGACCGGAGCCTCCTGCCTGAGGGGAGCAGGTCAAACAGACTGTGTCCAGGGTGAGAAGGGTCAGCTGAGATCCGAGCTGCACGCCGCAGTGTCCTGGAGGTGTACAGGTCCTGCAGAGATGGGAGTCTGCAGCCAATCACCTTCTCAGCAGAGCGCACAACACGCTGCAGTCTCTGTTTGTCCCTGATAGTGGCTCCAGCGTACCACACGGTGATGGAGGAGGTGAGGATGGACTCGATGATTGCAGTGTAGAACTGCATCATCGTCCGTGTTGGCAGGTTGAATTTCTTCAGCTGCCTCAGGAAGTACATCCTCTGCTGGGCTTTCTTAATGACGGAGTGATGGTGGGCTCCCACTTCAGGTCCTGGGTGATGGTGGTACCCAGGAAGCGGAACTGAGTCCACAGAGGTGATGGGGGTGTCAGTCAGGGAGGGATGGGCTGTGTGCTTCCTGAAGTCCACAATAATCTCCACTGTCTCCTGGGCATTCAGCACCAGGTTGTTGTGGCTGCACCACTGGTATAGCGCTATAAATGGTGCATGAATTACATGTTTTTGCCTCTTTCATCAATTTGTTTGTGATAAGTCATTAATATACTGAAACAACATGAGAATAGAGCAGCTGCGAGACAATTCTGCATTAATGAGTCAATGGTACGGAAGTGGAGGAAGCAAGAAGAATGAGTTGAGTAAAATTTGACTTATTTGTTTTGTTTCACTTAATGCGCCTTATAATCTGGTGCGCCTTATGTATGGAAACAGACCTGTTCATCGACAGTGCGCCTTATGGTCTGGAAAATACGGTGTTTTGCTTTTTATTTCATTATGTCAGCTATGACATTTGTTTGACTCTGCTGAATAAAGTGTCTAATGAGCAGATTGTGAGTTCTCCTGTCAGTACCTCTAATCAGATTTGAATGTAACCACAGACAACAGGAATTCAAAGTAGCACTGAACAATGTGATTAACTTGTTGTATTGAGAAAACAAAACAAACAAACAAAAAAGCCTCCTGCACCCTGAAAGTCCATAAAACGCACAAACTCATTCATTCATGTCTGTATCATAAATCTTAAGATTATAAAATTAAGATTGGGGTTTATAGATTGGTTCAATCATTGGAGCCATTTAAAAATAAATAAATAACAATAAATAGGATGATTAAAGGAAAATAACATCTGCACACTTCTGCACACATCTAGTGACGTTTCGAGCACACCTGCTTTTCATTAGACAATGAAACACCAAGCAGCACCATCTTAAATAAACTGTGAACAGTCGACAGTCAACAACTTCCAATCAAGAACCAAATATTTTATTGGACAAACAACAAGTGAAGAATCATCATTGACAGATTTTTCACTTGCGTGTCTGTTGTTTGGCCTACATAAGATCTGACAATGTTGTATGTTGACTAACATTAGTTTTTAAAGGTGTATATTAAAAACAAACAAACATTGCATGCATGGTAAGGAGCTTCCTTGTTTTGATGTCAGGGGCTTGATCTCCACTTTCAGCCAGTTGATTATCCCAGCAGGGTATCTGACGACTAGCAGGGACGTAGGTGTTTATTGCCTGGACCTTGTTCTTCCCATTTAACTGACTCCTCAGGACTTGCCTCACTTTCTGCAAGTGTTTTCCTACTGGCCTCTTCATAGTGTGTGTGTGTGTGTGCGCTAAGTATATTATATGGTATGTTTTTCACAGGCTTGACATCCTGCTGAAACTCTCACATCCTCACCCCTCAGCTGCTGACTGGTTGTATGTCAGAGAATTTCACTTTTCACTGGACAGTTAGTGACAATCTTTTTTTTTTTTTTTTTCTTCCTCCCTTCTTTTTCAGCTCGATAGCATGGATGAACAGGCAGCTCAGATCCGTAGAGAGCTGGATGGCAGGTTACAGTTGGCCGAAAAGATTGCCAAGGTACTAACTGATTACTTGCATCCAGAAAATGTCACATGACTTCTATTTCCTGAAAGATACACATCCAATGTTGATGTTTACGTTAAGATGAACTTTAATGTATGTTGTGTTTCCTTCAGGAACGGAAATACCCAAAGTTTGTCTCTGCTGATATGGAGGCTCTGTATGTGGAGGAGCTGCGATCATCTGTCAACCTACTGATGGCAAATTTGGAGAGTCTGCCTGTGTCTAAAGGAGGTCCAGACTTCAAACAGAAGCTCAAACGCTCCACTGTAAATAACTCCTTTCTAGATCTTGGAGATGAGGGAGATCTGTCTAAGTCGGACATCGTCTTGTCTTTCACTCTGGAGGTGTGTTTGGGTTTATAGAAATGTCTGCTGGTAACTTGCTCACAAAATACAGTGCTGTGAAAATGTATTTGCCCCCTTCACTATTTATTATGCTTGTGACAAACATGCAAAAAAAAATTTTTTGGATCATTTAACACATTTTAATATTTTTTTTTAGACAAAGATGACCTGAGTAGATTAAAATTATTTTTAAAATGTGTGATTTGAAATCCAGGTAATCCTAGCATACTTCATGGCCTGTAGTTCATTCATTCAAAACTCTTCCAGCTGGGTGTGTTTCCTCTTTCTGTTACCTCTTCAAAGAGAAAGTGTCAGTGGTAAAAGCTGGGGATGTGAATGGGTTACTCTGGGTTGAAAACTGAGTTTGTTTGTTGTTCTGTTTGTTGGTGCCAAACCTCTGTTGATTTTCTCAGATTGTAATCATGGAGGTCCAGGGCCTGAAGTCAGTGGCCCCAGACCGTATGGTTTACTGTACCATGGAGGTAGAAGGAGAAGAAAAGCTACAGACCGACCAAGTAGAAGCCTCAAGACCACAGTGAGTTAATCTTCCTGATCTGTTCAGACCAGGGGTGGGCAATTATTTTTTACCAAGGGACCACATGAGAAATTGTGACTGTTGTGGAGGTCTGCAGCAGTAAGCTGAACTCAGTCCTGCTCCATGTTATTTCATCTCCTGTTGAACTTATTTCTCTCTTATTACTGTCTTATTACTCTCTTGGGAAAATGAATTGCCCACATTTGATTTAGACTGTTTAGAATACCCAAATCTCAGTTTTGACCACCCAAGTTTGTGAATGTTATAACCTGAGAACAAAGGAGTTTCAAACTGATACCACAGGTATATCTAAAAGTCTTGGACAGTTCAGTGACCTCGACCTCATGGTCAAGGAAAATTTTGTGAATGCGATAACTTGAGAAGGGAAGAGATAAAAGAGAAGGGGACAAATTGCTGTACAGTCCCATATACAGTGGGACTAACTACTTCAGGCTAAACTCATAATTCCAGCTTCTAATCTTTAAGTGTCAATTTTAGCCGCACAGTTTGTTGGCCCATTAATAAAACGGGCTGATACTATCCCAGGCATTTTTAATACAATTGTCTGCCAAATAATGTGACTTGCTGTGCGGTTAGCAGCCAAAGCAGTACCAAGATGGTGTGGTAGTAGAACATACAGTGGTGAGGCAGCAAAAAGGCTGCTAATGTTAGCTCAAGTTAAATCTGTTTATCTTCAATTCCTCCCTGTCCCAGTGTCAACAGCAGTGTCAACCTACAATTTTACAAATCATTAAAATTCTCATGTCTTTCAGGTGGGGGACTCAGGGGGACTTCACCACAACTCACCCTCTGCCTTCAGTTAAAGTGAAGCTCTTCCTAGAGAGCACCAGGGTCTTAGCTTTGGATGACAAGGAGCTGGGCAAGGTGAATAAATCTATTATTCTGGTTTATTAAAGTCTATTTAGTGTATAATGTTTAGTAGATAATATTTACTTGTTTAGAAAAGTTCTCTATATAAAGATAATTAACTACATTCAAATGATCAAAATGAAAATAACTGTGTAATTTAGTCTGCATTAGTTACATTGTCATTTTAGGCGTAGTGTTATTGATAATAAATGTGACTTTAGATACAACATTTCTTCAATTTCATTTCTCTGTTGTGAGTTTGTTTTTTTTAATTTCCAGACTTCGATAATGAATTGATATTTTTCTCCAGGTTGTCCACATTTATAAATGAGTATCGTGTGAAAGTTGTTCGAAACTTTGATACAACCTTAATGTTGTATCAAAGATGTTTTTTTTGCTCAGAAACTTGGGTGACTGCTAAGTGAACCAGATACCTTTTTTTTTTTTTTAACCCTTTGACCACAATAGGCTGATTGGGTAATGTTGTCACCCTGCTGGGCAGCGGATGGGCAGGCAACATGGACACCCAAGATTGTGAATACGGTAACTTGAGAACAAAGTGATGTAGAATTTTGAAATTGGTACCACAGGTGTATCTGTTAGAGGGCTGTGGGTACCAAGACTTCCCAAGACGTCTTCTGACAATCAGAAATTGAAGAAACACTAGACACGGGGGAAAAAAGTCCAGTTACCTAGCACTATAACTGATAAGTCTGTACAAGATCAGAATAATTTCAGAGGTCATGAAAAATTTGTTTGGAGGAAAGGAATCCATCAGTGAAGGTTTAGAGAATTTGATTGGCAGGTGAGACAACTCGAAGTTCTAAAAGCTTCAGATGTTATTTGTAATTTTCACACATATCTACAAGATCCAAACATGTTGTTGTTGTATACAAGTTCAATCCCGATTAAACTGAATTCACAGTTCATTGTGTGTATGGAGGAGATAATTGAAGGTCAGGGAAGTCAAAGCACAGTGAAAACAATGACTGACAGTTGCTGGTTGGAAGTTTCTTATTTCTTCCAGACTATATGAATGAAACGTCTTACTGCATGAGAGCAGCTGTGATTGGTACATGCAAGCATGTGGTCAGGTGCCGATTTAGGGAATGCTTGATTTGCGTTTCCTTCCTGTTCTATTGATGAAGCATGTGATTTCAATACTGCTTGAACATATTCATTTAATTTTGGGAAGTCGAAACAACAATCAAGATTAAAATTTTAACATTTAGTGTAGCCCAAAGAACTAATACAGTCTCATATGTTAAGGGATTTCATGAAAAAATAGTGCAAGGTTTTTTTATAACTCCAAAACAAAAGGCCAGACGGACCAGGGAACAACTTAATTGTTGGCGAGGATGTGGTCATTGTTTGGCAGACCACTTGTCTTCTGAAGCTGTTCCATTCTTAGTAAAAAATAAAGACACTATAACAAGGTATTGGCAAAAATAGTCAAAAATGAACAGAGTACTCTTTGATCCAATGTGAACTGCTCATCTCACAGAAAACAATGGGAAGAACCACTTATTTCCTCTGCACAAAGCATTTATAGCTTGTCATCCTTTCTACCGCCTCTCTTCTCTTACTGGACATTATATCTTCTGAGATGACAACTAGCATCATGCACGGTGACATCCAACCACACAGTCCAGCCACACTTTATCATCCTCTCTCCATTTGACTTACACATACACACTTTAAAATCAAATGTTCTTTTATTCACTTACATAGGAATACTTTCTTTTACTTTTTTCTTTAAATATCTGGGTTTGCTCATCACAATATACTCTTATTAAATCATACGTTCAAAAGGTCAGACATTGTTTTACATGAGTTGCTCCTTGGTGTCACTCACTCACACATCCTCATCTTTTTCTCATAACCACTCTCTCACAGCCTCCGAAGTTATCTTTGCATCACACAACTTATCAATTACTTTGAATCGAACCACAATTTACAAAAACAGTATGCTTTACTAAATAAGACTCAAGACCATAAATTTAGTAGGAACTGTTAAATAGGTCTTTACTGCGGTTTTAGGTCAGGAAGCTGAGGGCTATTTTCCCATAGACATTGTACTCTTTTCCTGATCTATTTCTCCATTCCTCCCTCTCAGGTAATCCTGAACCCGACTACCAATGGACCAAAGCACACAGAGTTCCATCGTATGATTGTCCCCAAGAACAGCCAGGACACAGAGCTGAAAATCAAACTGGCTGTCCGCATGGACAAACCTCCCAACATGAAGCACAGCGGGTGAGTCACATGCTACATCCTGTTTCTTTTTTCTTTTTTGGGGGGTGCGGTTTCAGTTGGGTTTTTTTTCTCCAAAGTTTTTTACTTCAGTGCTTGACAGTTGGATAGCAAAGAGGTCACAGCCCAGCCCAAGTTTGTAAATGTAATAACTCAAGAAGGAAGTGACTTGACACCATAGGTCTGTCTACGAAAAATCTCTGACAAGTTCAATTCTCGATCTTGTGAATGCGAAAACTTGAGACGGGAGTCACCTAGGATTTTCAAAATCATACCAACATGTTTAGTGAAACATTCGAACCCTGATGACCTTGACATCAGAAGTCAAGTTTTCTGAGGAGGATTTTGAAATTGGAATCATAGGCTTATTTCCTAGGAGACTGAAGGTGATCACTGTAGGCTTACGTCCTTCTTCTCTATGGAAATAAAACAGTTGCGGCTCGGAGTGTTAAAAAAAAAAAATCCAAAATATATTTCCTGCAGTATAGTAGAGTTGTGCTGTGGCGTGTTTGTAACAAACAAACAAATGGAGTAGTTTGTGGTTAAAGATGGACTAATGTTTTGTTTTTGTTGTTGTTTTTTTAAATCTATTATTTATTTCTCCTTTCTTTAATGTCTGTTAACTCTGTGACGGCAGCACCTGAGTCCACAACAAATTTCCCTAAGGGGACAATAAAGTATATCAAGTAATTGGTTTCAGGCAGGAGTGTCTGAGGTTTGCCATTGTACAAAACACTTGCAGAATTTAATCAGGAATACTGCCACACTCCACATTGGGATAAATAGATTTTAAAGAAATATCACATTGCTATGCTTTGTTCTTTCTTTCTGGACATAAGTCACAAATGTTCACATATGTTCATTGAGGAAGGTTTTATTTTGCTTTTTTATCAGCACTTTTTAGCCTGGTTGGTTTTCTCAATGGCAGCTAAAATTAGAATCACTATCCTTTTAAAATATTTCTGTGTAAGACCTGTTTGAGTTGTTACTGTGTAGTTTTTATTTTAACCAGAAGATGGAAGCAAATTCTAATTTTCCAGCCTGCAAGTGTTGCTGAAAGAAATATTTATTTTCTTTTAACATTTCATGTCTCAATTGAAGAGTTCATTTTTTTAAAATATATTGTATGGAGTCAGGTTTTTTTTTTCCTTCAAAATTTACAGTAATAATTAGAATTGGTTTTAAACTAACAGTTTTAAATTCAAATTTCCTTGGAAAAGATGATGCAGAGTCTATGGTCTCAGCAGTTTTCAGTGTTTCCACTCTTTGTGGAAAACAAACAAAAAACAAACAATCCGGTGGAAAATCTGACTTCATGTAACTAAATTCTGCTGTATTTTCAGTAAGATGAGAGGAATGAGTCACACCTCTCATTTTGACTCATGGTTTATGACTCAGGCAGAAACGTGGTTTGTCTAAAAATTCTAAGGTCTGTGTTTGCTTTCCAATTCCAGTCTACAAGTCAAAGCATCCTTGGGCGAGATACTGAACCCTACGTTGCTCGTGATGTATCCTTCAAATTTTAGGCACTTAGGTTTAGAAGAAGCGCTTGTATGAATGTGTATGTGAATGAGTCTTGTGTATGAATGAGCCTCACACATCTAATGAGCCTCCCGCAGGAGCCGACAAACGGTTCTGTTCATTACAGTAACAATGTGGGAGTCGGGCAGTTTTAATAATTGACTGGCTGGTTGGTAACTGCACTCCATCTGTAGCCTTCTTGGTTTACACAAGGGGTCAGTATCGGTCTCTCTGTTACTTCTGCCTCTCTGGTCCATGTTCAGCTCTTCTCTTTGTTGGTTTTCTGGCATTTGATTTATTAAGGGTTTTGCTGTGCCTGCTGCTTTGATGCTGTTCCACCAACTGAGGTCAATGTCTTACATGCTGCATTTCTGAGTTTTACCTATAAGATTATCAAAATAACTCCACACATGTCAATGAAATGAGTCCAACTGAAGCATTTCATTACTTCTCTTATAGCAAAGAAAATATATAAAAATAGAAAAATGATTCTGTTAAAAGACATTTTGCATTTGGCAGTGTTTGTGGGCTTAGGTTCAAACTGTAGAAAAAAACAAAACAGTAAAAAAGTAGTCAAAGTGAATTAAACTCGATTAGGAGACCAACAGATGCAAAAACACATTTGATGGTCAAAATAAAACGGGCAGGGAAACAAAATGGAAATACTTTATTTAAATCCACAAACGTTGATTCTGTTCATCTGGACGTAGCGTTTTCTTTATTTCAAATGTGTTTTTGTATTTTATGTGAACAGTAGAAGAAAACCAGCAGTCTACACTCATTTATCATAAATATGATTCGGTCTTGTCTTAAAGTCCAATGTTTGACTGTGTGTGTGTGTGTGTGTGTGTGTGTGTGTGTGTGTGTGTGTGTGTGTG